CTGTAGTCCCAGCTCTCAGAGGTTGAGTCAGGAGAACGGCGTGAACCCGGGATGACTGGAGTGCAGTTGAGCTGAGAAAAAAAAAAAAAAAGAAAAAAATTTTTTGTAGAGGCAGGGCAGTGTCTGCCTGTGTTGCCTAACCTGGTCTTGAACTCCTGAGCTCAAGTGATCCTCCCACCTCAGCCTCCCAAAATGCTGGGATTATAGGCATGAGCCACTGTGTGTTCATAAGACTAGAACAAATACATGAATAGTAATAATTCTTTCAATTCCACCTTCTATTAATAACAGTCACTGGCTGAGCGAGGTGACTCACACCTATAATCTCCGCACTTTGGGAGGCAGAGGTGGGCGGATCACCTGGGGTCAAGAGTTCAAGACCAGCCTGGCCAAGATGGTGAAACCCCAGCTCTACAAAAAATACAAAAATTAGCCAGGGATGGCAGTGTACACCTGTAATCCCAGCTACTTGGGAGGCTGAGGCAGGAGAATTGCTGGAACCCGGGAGGCGGAGGTGGCTGTGAGCCCAGCTACTCTGAAGGCTGAGGCATAAGAATCGCTTGAATCCGGGAGGCAGAGGTTGCAATGAGCTGAGATCATGCCATTGCACTCCAGCTTGGGGCAACAGAGTGAGATTTGGTCTCAACAAACCAACCAACAAACAAAAAATAATAGTCACTGATGAATCTTAGGGTCTATGCAACTTGATTTCAAAGATAAATATTTCTTAAACTCATTAAACATAACTTATTAAAATTACTGACTATTTACTTACACTAAATAATTTTTTTTTTGATGGATTATTGCTCTATTGCCCAGGCTGGAGTGCAGCAACATGATGCGCTCTCAGCTCACTGCAACCTCCGCCTCCCAGGTTCAAGTGATTCTCCTGCCTCAGCCTTCCAAGTAGCTGGGATTACAGGCGTGTGCCACCTCACCCGGCTAATTTCTGTATTTTTAGTAGAGGCGGGGTTTCACCATGTTGGTCAGGCTGGTCTGGAACTGCTGACCTCAGGTGATCCACCGGCCTTGGCCTCCCAAAGTGCTAGGATTACAGGCGAGAGCCACTGCGCCCGCCTATTACACTAAATAATTATTTAAACACGTGTACCACACAGTGACTTTGTGTCACTCTATGGCTCTAATTCAGAAAACAATGTCTTTTGTGTATATATACATATATGCATAATTACAACTCCAATAGAAGGCTCCTTGTTTCTGAAGTAACATTGTTACTTATTCATCTTGAAAGGTTACATATCAACTTACATCAATTTAAAATTGGTTACACATTTGAAAACATAACAAAGAAATTTAGTGCTTAGTGAAAAATACACTCTGAACCTCCTTTGAAACCATACCACAGCGCTTGGGGACAGTATTGAGTGAACACTTAAATTAGGAGATATTTTAAAATTATCATTAAAATAATACAAATAGGCCGGGCATGGTGGCTCACGCCTTAATCCCAGCGTTTTGGGAGGCCGAGGCCGGTGGATTACGCGGTCAGGAGATCGAGTTCACCCTGGTTAACACGGTGAAACTCCTTCTCTACTAAAAACAAAACAAAACAAAAAAACAAAAAATTAGCCGGGCGTGGTGGCACGCACCTGTAGTCCCAGCTACTCCGGAGGCTGAGGCAGGAGAATCGCTTGAACCCGGGAGGCGGAGGTTGCAGTGAGCTGAGATCGCCACTGCACACCAGCCTGGGTGACAGAGCGAGACTGTCCAAAAAAAAAAAAAAAAAAATTACACAAATAATAACTTTACACAATACAGCTAAACGAAGAAAAAATTAAGTTCACTTATAAACACTTTGGTTTATATAATTTCAAACTTTTACATACACTTCTTTTTAACAAAAAAGAGGGATTATACTACTTTGCAATCTGCTTTTTTCAATGAATTATCTTTCCATGCTAATAAATATCCTTCTACAAGTAATCATATTTTAATGACTGTATGTCATTCCACCAAGTAAAAGAATCTTAATTCGTTGAATCCATAAGGTTGTTTGTAACTTTAACTTTTCACAGTAGGCGTTTAGTTTGTTTTTGAGATGGCGTTTCGCAGTCTCCTGAGCAGGAGAGCAGTGGCGCGATCTCGGCTGGGTTCAAGCGATTCTCCTGCCTCAGCCTCCCGAGAAGCTGGGACTACAGGCGCCCGCCACCTCGCCTGGCTAATTTTTTGTATTTTCAGTAGAGACGGGGTTTCACCACGTTAGCCAGGATGGTCTCGATTTCCTAACCTCGCGATCCGCCCGCCCCGGCCTCCCAAAGTGCTGGGATTACAGGCGTGAGCCACCGCGTCCAGCCAACACAGTAGGCGTTTTAAAGCATTTTTATTACAGTAACATAAATCTGGCCTTGGCTTCGTCCTGTTTCTCTGAGGAATGTGGAAAGCGGGGCTTAGGCCCGTGGGCTCTTCAAAGACTGTCACCAGGTGGGGACTTCACTGTGTCAACTATGAACTACATACATGTTTAAAATAAATATAAATACACATTTAAAAATGATAAGCCCAAATTCTTTTAAAACTGAAGTCTCCACTTATAGTTCCTTATTTTCCTCACTCACAGCTGGACGTTTCGCAGGGAAAACGCAGGCTTTTGCGAAAATTCTAAAGGTATAATCCTAAATTATTTTTGGTTTCCGCTCACGCCTCAAGCGAATAAGAATCACAGCCCCAAATAATAATAATAATAAAATGATGCTTCATGCCCCCCGTTCCATCTCACTAACTTCGTCCGCGTGTGAAAGGCTCAATTGGATGAACTTCCCCGCCCCCCACACCTTTAAGATAAAAACTACAATCACAGCGATTTCTGTTTTAACATAAAACTCTTGGAAGGGCCCCACCCAATCTGTCGGGCAGCTGCCCCCAAACATCTCCAAAACCGCAAACTAGGCAAGCCTAAAGGACAACCTGGCCA